TTATTATATTATTATTATTATTATTATTATTATTATTATTATTATTATTATTATTATTATTATTATTATTATTATTATTATTATTATTATTATTATATTATTATTATTATTATATTATTATTATTATTAGTGTTATTATTATTATTATTATTATTATTATTATTATTATTATTATTATTATTATTATTATTATTATTATTATTAGTGTTAGTGTTATTATTATTATTATTATTATTATTATTATTATTATTATTATTATTATTTATTATTATTATATTATTATTATTATTATTATTATTATTAGTATTATATTATTATTATTATTATTATTATTATTATTATTATTGTTACTGTTATTATTATTATTATTGTTATTGTTAGTGTTATTATTATTATTATTATTAGTGTTAGTGTTGTTATTATTATTATTATTATTATTATTATTATTATTATTATTATTAATACTGTTTTTTTTGTGTATGAATGAAGAAAGATATCTTTGATCCATATCTGTTTCTTATTTTGTGAATAAAAAAAGTTTGTTTAGCGTCTGTGTCAGCGTTTTATTAACTAAAAAAAGGATGAACGTTTTTTGATGTTTTGTGACCAGAAAAATAAAAAAGGTCTTTGATCTATAATGGTGTAAATATGTTGTGAATTAAAACAGTGAAACGTCTTTGTTCCAAGCGTCTGTGCTGATTTTAGGCCAAAGAAAAACCTCGACTTTGATCTTTGAATGTGCTTGTATTTTACGAAGGAGAAAATGAAAAGGTGTATTTAGTTTATGTCGTTATCGGTATGTCTCTTACTATGCAAACGGATATACGGATTCCATCTTGTGTAATTGCTGATATTTTGTGAATAAAAACAAAATCAGTATACGTGGATGACGTTAATACCTCTTTGATATCTCTGTCTATACGATTATCTGCGTGTGTTTCATATACAATCTGCACGAAGGTTTCTACAAACATATATTTTTAGGGTTTCAAAAAACACATTTTTGGGATTAAAAAAAAAAACAGTTTTGGGATTTCAACAAACACGTGTTTTTAGGGTTTCAAACATGTTTTTAGGGTTTCAACAAACACATTTTTAGGGCTTCAACAAACACGTGTTTTTAGGGTTTCAACAAACACGTTTTTAGGGTTTCAACAAACTCATTTTAGGGTTTCAACAAACACGTTTTTAGGGTTTCAACAAACACATTTTTTAGGGCTTCAACAAACACGTGTTTTTAGGGTTTCAACAAACACATTTTTGGGTTTCAAACAAACACGTTTTTAGGGTTTCAACAAACACATTTTTGGGGTTTCAACAAACACGTGTTTTTAGGGTTTCAAACATATTTTAGGGTTTCAGCAAACTCTTGTATTTAGGGTTTCAACAAACACGTTTTTTTAAGGTTTTAATAAACATATTTTATGAAGGTTTCAACAAACACGTGTTTTTGTTTTGGCAGGTGAAGGGGGGGCGATTGTGAAGAACACTTCGGAGCTGAGTTTGACCATCACGGGGCTGCATCACTTCACCATATATGAGATTAAGGTTGGTTTTCGCTTGCAGGTGAACTTCTTTCTCGACTCTAATGACTTTGACTGGTCGTACGTCTGATGGTTTTAGATTATTGGATTCTCTCTCTCTATCTATCTCTATCTCACTCTATCTCTATTCTTATTTGGTTCTTTCCCTTTCTCCTCTCTCTCTCTCGCTCTCTCTCTCTCTCTCTCTCTCTCTCTCTCTCTCTCTCTCTCTCTCTCTCTCTCTCTCTCTCCTCTCTCTCTCTCTCTCTCTCTCTCTCTCTCTTTCTCTCTCTCTCTTTCCGCCTACCTTCCTTCGGCATCTTTTCTCTCATTCCTCCTTTCCCCTTTCCCATTCACCTTTCCTCCCTTCCCTATCTCCCCTCCTTTCTCTCTTTTCCTTCTTCCCCCCTTCTCCCCTCCCCCCTGTCTCCCTTCTCTGCCCTTTCCTCCCCCCCCCCATCCATGACACAGCTGGTAAGTACGAACTAACCAGTAATTAGCACAGAGACAAATTGCAGGGTACGCTCGTTACCGGAAATAACAGCTCGTTAACACATTATTTGCTGGAAGTTCATTAGGAGAATGAATAAAAAGTGATTAGTGACAAGAAAAGAAAATTAAAGAAAAACGTGATCAGTGTTAATTTTAGAAATCTGCTGAAAATCTGTAAAAATGAGAAATAAGTAAATAAATGAAATAAAATGAAGTTAAAACAATTTTTTGTTACCGATATGGTGTCATAAATGTTACTAAAAATGTTTAGAATATTCAGCTAGACTCAAATGTAGACTTACCTCAAACCCACATAAACGTTTTGCTTTTTTTAAAATGCATGTAATAATTAAATTGTTAGAGAACTATTCAGCTTCTATAATAAAGAAGAGAAACACGAGTTGCTATAGAATAAGTGAATACATTGTTTAAGGTCATACAATGCACAGTAAAGAAATTTAAAGGTCCTTTTTGGGCAAAGTATGAGAGAAAACGGCGATGCAAGAAGGGGGACTCAAGTAAAGCATCAGTGTCAGTGGATTGTATAGCTGTATTTCTACTTCTCGGTTAATTTCAGTTAAGAAAAGCAAAGAAAAGTCTTAAAATGTGTATATATTAATTAAACATTTTTTGTTTTTATAGGTAGATAGGTAAACTGTAACAGTGCAAAATTATGAGTGGATAAATAATCATTTATGAAATTCGAGCACTACAGACACGATCAAAGTAATGAAAATACAAACGATTTTTTTTCTAAAAGTGGACTTTTATATATATATATATATATATATATATATATATATATATATATATATATATATAATATATATATATAAAGTTTCAGCTCATGACAAACATTTATATGTCATTCAATTACAAATCATAACCCACCTCTCATTAACTTTGAAGTCTTATCAAAGAGAATAGCTTTGTTTTTTTTTAGGAATGAATTGGCTTTGTTATTTATTCATGGGAGCTTAAAATACCATCGAAATGAGGACGGTTATTTATATTATAATATATCATTCAGCACCTCGATATTAAGGCTCTCTTTCGTTTGTCAAGGAGGAAAATAGTCAAAATAATGTTAAACGGTAGCACTATCCATTAAACACTGGCATTTGAGGTACTAATAGATTTAGATAAAGTAATGTTGCTGATAGCACTCCATATGATAGTATATGTATAATGTGTTCATTACTAATGCTGACGTTATTGCTGTTGGTCTTATCATCCTCATTAAACACTAGGCTAACCTTATGTTTATTTCTGTAGTTAGCCTTGTAATTATTATTATTATTAATGTCTTTGTTGTTAATATGATTATTATTGCTTCATCATTATCATCATCACCATCACCTGATATCACCATCATCGTTGTCATCATCATCACCATCATCACCCACCACTACCATCACCACCGCAATCATCTTTTCACCACTTTGACCTTCATTTATCATCAACATTATTCCTATTCCTTATTTTACTCATTTTTCCGCAAGTTTGTCGTACGCCCCCCTCCCCCCCTCCCCTCCCCTCCCCAACTACCACAATCATCAACACTGTTACCATCATATTTATCAATTATCACTATCACCGCTATCACAAATTCACTCACTCACTCCACAGGTCGTCGCACGCCACGACCCACCACTCACGACAAGCATCAGCATTGTCGCCATCCTCTTTTATCGTCACAGTTATCACTTACCTCGTTATTACCGCCTCGCTCGTTCGCAGGTCGTCGCATGCCATCGCCCGACCACCGACTGCCCGCAAGGATCCAACATGAAGGAGTGTGTGCTGTGTTCTCTCAACCCAAGCTTATTACGGACACCACGGACGCCAAAGGTGAATATGGGAAGGAGGGAGGGAGGGAGGGAGGGAGAGAGAGGAGGAAGAGGGAGGGAGAGGAGAGGGAGAGAGAGGAAGAAGGGAGGGTGGAGAGAGAGGGGAAAGAGAAGGGTAGAGAGAGAGAGAGAGAGAAGGGAGAGAGAGAGAGAAGAGACAGGTAGAGATTTAGAGAGAGAGAGAGAAGAGAAGGGATGAGAGGAGAGAGAGGAGAAAGATCGAGGAGATATTGGGAGAGAGAGAGAGAGGACGGAGAGAAGATGAGAGAGAGAGAGATGAGAGAGAAGAGAGAGTGAGAGAGACAGAGAGAGAAGAGAGAGAGAGAGAGAAGGGCGAGTGAGAAGAAGAGGAGAGAGAGGAAGAGAGAGAGGAGAGGAGGAGAGGAAGAGAGAGAGAGAGAAAGAGAAGGGAGAGAGAGAGAGAGTGAGAGAGAAGGGAGAGAGAGAGAGAGACAGAACAGACAGACAGACAGACAGACAGACAGAGACAGGAGGGAGTTGTGGGGTGGGGGTTGGAAGGGTGTTTGAGTGTAGGGGTGGTGGGGTAGGGTTGTGTGGAGGGGGATGGGTGTGTTTGTGTGTGTGGTTATTATTATAGGTACTGAGAGTAGATTTATATTTTTTTCTCCTTTTCTTCGCTATGTGAGGAATTATGTGAACCCGATGTACGTCTAGTGTTGCTGTGCATGCATGCATGACACCGTATATGCTCGTCTCGCGCTTATTGTACCCAATATTCGCTTTCTGCCAGTAACTCCAGTTTAACTCTAAAAAATACCGCACCACTGTATCACCTTTCCCGATAATCATAGATTTAGATGATTTTACATTCAATGTTCAATAATAATCTCCTTATTAAAAGATTAAACATGCAGATCAAAAAGCGGTAGTGGATGCCAACGTACTGCATAGAATAGTGATGGCTGTCTGTGTAATAGGGAGTAGACGTTAGAGGCTTAGAAAATATATTGTGCGCATGTATTACTATTTACATTATTAGTTGACATTAATTACACAGCACGGTTCCGAGTGCTTGCCCTCCCTGCCCCCCCCCCCAACAAAAAAAAAAATGTTCGTGTGTGTGTGGTGTGCGTGTTGTGTGCTGCCGTGTGCGTGTGGCGTGTGCGTAGTTGCGTGCCGTGTGTGTGTACACGTCAAATAACAATCTCGCGAGCATCGCAAGGTGCAGTTTGCACCCCCCCCTTTCCCACCCTTCTGGCGAAGCACGCTATAGGCGCGATACCTGGTGACGGGGCTCAAGGAAATCAACACGAGCAGAGACAGCATCAAGAGCTTCACGTGGACGAGACCAGCTGAGCCACGGGAAGGTGGTGTGGCCTACAAAGTCAAGATTCCTGCCGATGGAAAAACTTTAGGACATATTAAAACCCCCGGTTAGGATCGGGTTCGGTGCGTGTTTTGGTGCTGGTGGTCGTTGTGTGGGGTGTTGGGGTGGTGTGGGGGGGAGGTAGGGTGGCGGGAGGGTAATTGTGGGTTGTGGGAATCCTGCTTTCTGAGAAGTGTGTTCGTGTTGATCTCTTTTCTTTTCTTTTTTTCTTTCTATTTCTGTCTTTTTGGCTTATCTATTCCATTTCTGTCTTTAGCTTTCTATCCATTTCTGTTCTGTTGGAGCTGTCTAGTGGCCATGTTGTCTGTCCGTGTTAGCTTTCTTTTCTTGTTCTGCTTCCTTGTTGCTGGAGGTCTGAGTTCGTCTCTTCGTTCGTCTGTACTTTGTGCAGTTTTCATGTGTAGCATCTCTTCTCTGTCTCTCTCTCTTCTGTCTTCTCTCTTCTCTGTTCTTGCTCTGTCTCTGTCTCTCGCTGTCTCTCTCTCTCTCTGGTCTTCTCACTCTCTCTCTGTCTCTCTCTCTCCTCTTTCTTTCTCTCTCTTCTTTCTTCGTTTCTCTCATTGTCTCTCCTCTTTTGCTCTTGCTCTTCTCTCTCTTTCTTCTCTCTCTCTCTTTCTCTTCCTTTCCTCTTCCTCGCTCTCTCTCACTCTCTCCTCTGCCTCTCCTCCCTCCCTCCTCTTCTCTTCTTCTCTTCTCTCTCTCCCTCCTCTACATCTCTATCCCCCTCTCCTTCTTCCCTCATCACTCCTTCCTTTCCTTCCGTCCTCTGTTGCTCAATCCCTCCCTTCGTTCTGGCCTCTCCCACCCTCCCTTCCCTCTTCCTTCCTCTCCTCTCCCTACCGCCTCCTATTCTCCCCTTACCACACCCAGAAAAAACAAACCTCACAGATTCAACCAACACAGGGAATAGATAACAATAGAGATAGCATGATTCATTCACAATCCTCCTCCTTCCTCCTTCCTCTCCTCCTCTTCTCCTTCCTATTGCTTTCTCTTCCTCCTCCTCCTCCTCCCTCCTATTGCTCTTTTCCTCTTCCTCCTCCTCCTCCTCGCTCTCCCTTCTCCTCCTTTCCTCCTTTCCTCCTTACCCTCCTGCTTCCTCCTTCTTCTCTCCTCTATCCTCCTTCTCCCCCTCTTCCTCCTTTCCCCCCCCCTCTTCTCCTCCTCCTCCTCCTCCTCCTCCTCCTCCTCCTCCTCCTGCCTCTCCTCCTCCTCTCCTCCTCTCTCTCCTCCTTCCTCCTCTCCTTCCTCCTCCTCCTCCTCCTCATTCTGCCTTCCCTTCCACAGTGTATCAGCGAGAAGGAATTCGTCGAGAGGAACATGACCTTTCACCTCAACATGAGTCAGCTGCTCCCGGGACGCTACAACCTGAGCGTCGAGACCTACACGAGACCGGACTCCCCCTCGAACAAGTCCTTGGAGGCTGTCATCTTCGTCGTGGAGGTGAGCTGCCAGCCGGGTGCTCCTCGTGGCCCGTGGAGGACGGCTCCGGTTTTTAACCAGAGGAATTCAATTTGATTTTAGTTTTTTTTTATTATTTCATTTTCATCATTATTATTATTAGAGGAATTCAGATTTGATTTTAGTTTTTTTGTTGATTCATTTTCATTATTATTATTAGTAGTAGTAGTAGTATTTGTTTTTTATTGATTTATTTTCATTGTTATTAGTAGTAGTAGTAGTATTTCTTTCTCTTTTTAACTCATTAAGAATTTACCTTTCTTTTTCCTCTTTTTTCTTTTCTTTTTCTTATTTTAACTCTTTTTCGTAGTCAGTGTAATTCGGCTTTATTTGTCTAGTTTTTTCTCTTAATCGGTGAAATTAAATTAAATTAAATTAAATTAAAGAAAGATTCTCTTTCTTTACCGGTGAAATTCAATTTATTTATTTCGTTTTCTTATAATTCATGAGTCCGTTTCTTTCTTTTCTTTTCTTTTCTTTTTTTGAAATTCAGTGTTGTTATTATTACTTTTTATTATTGTTCTTTCTCATTGTTAGTAAAATTCAGCATTAGATTTTAGTTCGGTTTTTATGACCACTGAAATTTAGCTCTTTTTTTTCTCTTTTTAAAAAGTGAAATTCAACATTCATTTTTTTAACCAGTGAAATTTAGAAGTTTTCTATAGTTCTTTCGTAATCATTGAAAATCAGCACAATTTTTTTCCTTAACCACTGAAATTCATTATTTTCGTTTCTCTTTTCTTGTTCTAATGCGTCAGGCCATCATTTCTTAACAAGGTATAAAAAAGGGAAGCACATTTGCTGAGTGTGTCTGTCTGTCTACGTTCATCCGTTCGTTTTCTCCGAGTTTTAAAGAAGAGAAAAAAGTATATCGACTGGGAACCATTTACAGTTTTTCTAAAATTGAACCCAAGTTTTTTTTTCTCTCTCTCTCGATCACTGTGTAGGCGTGAAGAAAGACTCGCTGTGCACAAAGAAAATAGTTCGGTAAACTTTTTTTCTTGCCTATTTTATCAGTCAGTCCCAAAGATCGATTAAAGAATAATGAAAATTAAAATAATCAAAGATAAACAGAATCGGACCCAAATAACTAATATCCTCCAAGGTCTTGTTTTTAGCCTTTTCGAGAAAAAAATCATACAAAATTCCATCCCCTTTCCTTCCAAAACAAAAACGTTCGAAGAGAAACATAAAACAACCGCCACGGCATTCCTGCATTCCCCAGGGAGGACCAGACACGCCCTTGCACCTGAAGCTCCTGGCAGTTGCTCTCCTGGTGGGCGTGGTCCTCGTGGTGGTGCTGGCTCTCGTCACCAGAGTCTGCACCAAGCCGGATGAGAAGATTGTGACGACTCTGAATCCGATATATGCGCAGGAGTCAGGTAAACTTTTTGTTTTCTGTTTTGAAACGCGGAGAACTGATGGCGTGTTTCTTTTGTTCTTCTTCTTCTCTCTCTATCTCTATCTCTATCTCCTTCTATCTATCTATCTATCTACCTATCTATCTATCTATCTATCTATCTATCTCTCGCTCTCTTTCACTCTCTCTTTCACTATCTCTCTCTCCCTCTCCCCTCCCCCTCCACCCCCTCCTCCCCCACCTTCTCCCTCTCCTTCCCACTTTTCCTCTCTCCTTCTACTCTCCCTCCCCTCTCCTTTATCCTTTCTCACCCTTTCTCTCTCTTCTCCCGCTTCCCTCCGTCTCCCACCCAGACTATTTTCCTTCTTCTGCCACCAATTTCTCTTCTATTTTACATTTTTCTGTTGTTTTACTATTTTTGCTATTTTTCTATTTTTTTCTATTCTCTCCTGTTTTATTACACCTTTACCTATTGCGATTGGATTTTTTCTTGATATAATTATTTGTTTGAGCAGGAATAACTGTCCTAAAATTTCATTACTGTTTTTAAGATCAGTCATACTTCTAGTACATTGATTTTTTTTATTAAACAGTTTTCACCGTATATATATTAGAATATATTACTCTAGAATGAGAGTATATTACTCTACACCAGTTGCTTATGCGAATCATTAATCATTTCATCGCAATTTGATTACTAACATGCAAGTACCTGCAAATAACGCAATAGGCCTACCTTATTAACTTCACGCTCCTCTGACCCCCCACTCGTAAATCCAGGACTTCCGGCGTGGATCCAGCACGTCTACGACATCATAGGAGGTCAGGATATCATTGACTCCTCTGACCTGCACGTAGAAGAAGGACCTCCTCTCGGGGAAGGGAAGTTCGGGCTGGTCCTCAACGGCCGCCTGCGCCTCGAGGCCAAGAATATCCCGGTGGCCGTGAAGCAGGTGACGGATTTCCAAGCCAGGGAGGACATCCTGCAGGAGGCCAAGTTGATGCTGTAATATTTTCTTTCATTGTCTTGTTGTTGTTTTGTGCGTGTGTGTGTTTTTGTGTGTCTAGGTTGTGTTTGGCGGCTCTGCGTCGTCAGTTCTGGAAAGTTTGGCGTAGTGTTTTTTTATCATGTAATGTATTTTTTATCCTGTAATGTATTTTTTAATGTGTGCATATGTAAACACATATATAATTCCATCTCTTCATTTCACACTGCATTAACTTCAATAACGAGTCATGCCAAAGGAACAACAAAGGGAAGAACGGGCAAACACACAACTATACCATATTCGTGTATTTTCCCGTTCTTCCCTTCTTTGTTCCCTTTGCAACTTGTTCATCATCAAACTCCACACGAGTGTCTTTCAAAACCGAACCTTCTCGAATCCTTCTCGAATAACCCCGCCCTCTCCGACAGCAAACTCAACTGCTACCACCTGGTGCGAGCGTATGGAGTCGTGCCAAGAGCCACCCACATCCTGCTCGTGATGGAATACATGAACTGCGGGGACTTGCTGAGGTACATCAGGTCACGGAAACCCCCGGATGACGATATCTTATCTGTGATCACCATTGATGTGAGTTTGCGATAGACGGTTGAAGCGTTGATGGATTGCCATAGATCTTGTGATAAGGATAGCGTGCAAATGATATGATTATAGTTGACTGTTGATTATCATTTTGGATGTTTGAGTAAAGTTGGAGTTGGAGGAAAGAGAAGTGAAGGGCATTCGAAAATGAATTCAGAATACTTTCTCTGAAATGAGTAATGATGATCACAAACAGTACACACTGTCATGAACTCCATGAACTACAAATGCAAAATATTTTTTTAAAGCAAGGTGCCATGAACAAAATATTTTTAAAAATCACCAAATAAACAAAAAATATTAAATAACAAATGAAGGAATAAGCAAGATGATTAACAAATGAACAAAATATTACTGAACAAATGAACAAAAAATATTAAATAAATGAAGGAATAAGCAAGATGATTAACAAATGAACAAAATATTACTGAACAAATGAACAAAAAATACCATAAAAGATGGAAATTCACCAAATACCCCCCCCCCCAGCATGTGTGCGCCATGGCCGTGCAGATAGCGGACGGCATGGCATACCTGGCCAGCCGCAAGATCGTGCACAGGGACCTCGCCGCCCGCAACTGCCTCATCAACGACAACATGAACATCAAGATCTCAGACTTTGGCATGGCGAGACTAACCGATAACGACTATTACAGGATACGTAAGTTCAGTAACCGATAGCGATTAATATAGGATACGGGAGTCCACGATAACGACTATTTTAGGATGCACTTCCTAACCGGTAACGACTAATTTAGGATAGGGAAGTTCACTAAGCAATGACGACGATTTTAGGATGGGTTCATTAACCGATAATAACTAATTTAGGATACGTGAGTTCTGCTTGTTTTGTTTAATTAACCTTGGTGTGTAGAAACGGGTTGAACTAGGAACATGCTGGGTGGGGAATACTGGTAATGGGTGATAGGATACATGTGATTCATATTTTCAGTTCAATATACTTAATTTCTTTCATTATCATTCACCACCACCGCTACCACCTCCACCATCATCACCATCAATACCACCATCAACACCACCATCAACACCACCACACTACCACCTACCAAACACCAACACCACCAAAACCGGTACCACCATCACACCACTACCACTACTACCAACACCACCATCACCACCACCACCACCTGTACCATCACGATCACCACCACTGTTACCACCACTCTCGACACCACCACCGTCACCATCAACACCACCACCCACCACCTGTACCATCACCACCACCACCGTTACACCACTCTCGACACCACCACCATAACCCTAACTCCCCCACGCCGTCCTCCCGCAGGCGAGAGCAAGTACTTCCCCGTGCGGTGGCTTCCCCCCGAGTACCACCTGAAGTTCACGAGCCAGAGCGACGTCTGGAGCTACGGCATCGTCCTGTGGGAGATCCTGTCAGGAGGAGCGCGGCCCTATGAGGTGGGAGTGAGACGGACGAGGTGGTAGGGAAGTTGTCCTCATGACTAAGGGCGAGAAATGAGGAGGTGGATGGGTTGGGAGATTTTCTTTGGATGTTTTTTTGAAATTTTGGGGTGATGTTTTTGATTTGTTTAGTTTAGTTTGTTTTAGATTGGGACGTTGTGTAAAAAAAAAACGATGTTTAGCGAGGATTTGGAAGTATAGGACTTTTTTTTTTTTTGCTTTTTGTTTTATTACCACTATTATTTAGAAGTGGAAAGGGAGAGAAACATGTTATTGCAATACTTGGCCATATTTATCTTCTTTCTCTCTCTCTTTTCATGCTGTGGTAATTCCTCGGAGCCACAGGACGAACCAGAAATCCAACTACATATGACAACATCCTTCCTGCTCCTTTCAGCACCTGACGAATGACAACGACGTCCTGCAGCAGGTGCGTCGCGGATACACCCTGGAGACCCACATCCCCAAGGGCACGCCGTCATTCCTGGCGAAGATCCTGATCAGCTGTTGGCGTTACAAGGGCAGCACGAGGCCGTACTTCCCGCAGCTGGTGGCGGCTCTTCTGCCAAGCACGTCTCCTTGCTTCATTCAGCACTTCAGGTGGACTAAACTTCCTTTATGTGGGATTGTGTTACGTTTATGTGAGGTGGAATGTGGAATGGGAGGGTTGGCTTGGAGTCTGAATACAGTTCGGTGGATTCCTCTTGGTTTTGATAGATGGATTATGCGTTTTTTTAATCTGCAAAGTTCTAGTGTTGCGAGACGTTCTTGGTCCTTTATATGCAATGCACTTGGTTTTATCTGCTAAGTAAGAATATGCAGGATTTCTATATCGCAGAATTCTGTATATAAAAAAAATACCACAGAAATTACCAGCTGACTTTATTTCTCCCAGTTTCAAGATTGAATAGCACGCCACAATGTCTTCTCGTTTTTCCATTTTCATTTCAGCATAATACTTACCTTTGGCTTACATCTCCAACGACAATTTACATTTAGTCTTAGTATATATGACATCAAAGTCCTCGTGATACCTTCTAAATTACCTTTATGCTTTCCAGAATGGTGTCCTTCTACCACACAGCGGACGGCCAGGAGTACAAGCGTCAGTTAGAGACCCAGCAGGACGTGGACGAGGATAGTGACATCACTTCACCCCTCAATGAGTCATCACCTTTACCCTTCTGTCACCCTATCAGACAAGACGGCCCTCCACTCCCTCCCAGGCCACTCACGGGCACGAGGTGGCGGCCCTCGTTTCGCTTCCGAGGGGCAACAGTGCCAAGGTACACTCAGCAGCCGACTCACTTGTCTGTCACCGATCTCGAGAGCCTCACCTTGAGCCAGCAGGTTCTTCCCTCAAACAGGGAGGGGGACGCCACTTCCCCTTCTCGGAACGTTACTTCGACACTTGTGGACCTGACCACGTCCAAGTCCCAGGAAGAGAGTGTCAGAGAGAACGTGAAGACGAGCCCGTTCCACAGTTCAGAGACGGACGTAGTGGCGATGAACACGCACACGCTAAAAGCTCTGCATACACCACTAGCTGCAACTACGGCCAATCCCAGTAACGTGGTTGTTCAGTTGAACAGTCGCGGTTCAACTTCCACTTCCATTGCCTCTTCCACTGACCTTCCAGGTAGTCCAAGGAAGCTGGAAATTACTCTTCCCAACTTCAAGTGTTCAAAAAGGATGCCCGATATCAAGCCTTCCCCGTGTTAATATGCCATAAAACTTGAAAGCTCAATACAATGCCTCATTATATATAATTATTCTAAGGATTATTGCCGTTGTTTGCTGTAGTACAAGTGTTGTAGTATATAGAATTGATAGATTATTTGATAATGTGTATGTACAACTTCACTCTTCAAGGCACCTTGTCTGTCAGCATATAATGTACGTGCCTTTCAGATGGTTATATTGCACTGGAGCATTTGGGTTACAGTATTATAACTGACAACAAATTTTCCAATTTACAAATTGACACAGATTGCGTATATCAATTTGACATGTAAAAATTGTTATATATGTATATTTGAATCCAACAATACTTTTTGACAGAAAAATTGAAGACTAAACGCTGCCTCATATGTAAGAAGAATGAGTAACATACATGACATGGTTCGAACGTAAACATAAAGTATGAAAGGAACTTGTGCATGGTTTATATTTATACTATAGTTGACAGAAGACCCATTCAAAAGACGGGATGAATAAAGGGGGCTGCCCTTTACATGTTTTGTATTGTTGAATATAGGAGATTGCGGAAAGATAGGGGATGAGAAATCTATAGTTTTGTACGATCTGAGAATAATCTATTATCTAATTGTCTAATTACATGTTCATAAGCTGATGCTGAATACCATGACGTGTAGATGAACACTTTCTAACTGTATAAAAGCATAATGTTAATCTTGTAAGTAAATTGTGTTTTGACAATGGACGGTCCGGTATTTTTATTTTATATAATCTGATCTACAGACCTTTACTTAAAGTGTATGACCAACTTCAGTCGATAAACAGTTTTTTTTTTTCTTTTGACTTTGTATAAAATGTGTGTATGATTTATTATATATGTAAAATTAATGGATCTCATTTATGTTTACTTTCAGGATGGTTATCAAAGTTAGTTGCTTGTAGAATATATGGATATATGTTATTTTCTCTAAAAAAATAATTTAAAATGAATGTTGTTTAATTTGCCTTCTATGGAAAGAAAAGAGAAATGAGACCACACATAAAATATCAAAACAAAACAAAAATCATCTTTCAGTTATTTGACCCACTGTCATGTATGAGTTTCAAGAGATTCCGAGACCTTCTTTACCATGACCTTCGTCCTTTTGCTCTCCTTATACTGCCCGTTTCCCCATCTTAGAGAAAATAACTAGCCAGTGTCTAATACCTCACTGCCCAGCTCACAACAACGATAAGCACCAATTAAGGCCGACTTGTAAATTATATATCCCGGGGTATCTCTAGCACTTGAAGGAACATCGGAAATGTTGAGTGTTGTACATCATCTTGAGTATCAGATGTTTCCAGCTGCCTGCGATATTGTAAAGTCTGAAAAAAAACATGCGCATCAGAATAATTTCAATTTGGATGACAACTCTGATAGTAAAATGTCAAAGGAAACTGATATCCTGTTTTTGAAAATAATACTTATTGTACATTTGAGCTACTAATGACAAAGCGTTGATATCTCTCAGATATTCAGTGCTAAAATCTAATGTATAAATTCATTTAATCAGATTATTAATGAAACAAGTTTCCTCTGGACTAAGATAAATAGGAGAAATGAAGCACAAATACAAAAGTAAGATAGACAATACAAGCTTTCTTTACAGCTCACAAAGTATACCCTCATCAGACAGATGAACTTGCATATTTGAATAATAATGAGGGAGGAAGTTAGGGAAATAGTGCGAGAGAAAAGAAAAGATGAAAGAGAGAGAGAGAGAACCACGTTTTCATCCGCCATGCCCCAAGAGTCGAGAATAAGGAGCAACGGACCGAAAGGTTTGCAAAAAACAACTGTTCAACACATCGACCCCAAGGATTCAGGGTTAGGCAGTGTGTGCATTTTATCTACGTGAGGAATACGTAGGACCTGTGACCCTGTTAGGACCTGTAAATGCCTTTATTCCTTATTTTTTTTAGATTAACAAAAGTAAAGATAATGAGCATCATAACGAAAGGAAATAAGGCGAGCTTTGGTTCAATAGAATACTTTTTTCTTTTTTTTTTTTTTTTTTTGAGAAAATGGTTCCGATGCCCCATGCTGGAATGGAAACGCCATCGATATAGAAGGTTTACTTACATTATCATCCCTATTTCTAATATACTAAGGAAGAGTAGGAGTCCTGGATGCCCAAAGACACAATACTTCCTTATGAACAGTATGTTTTGTTCAACATGACAACAACACGATTACTTAATGATCATACTTTCTCACAAGATGTACATGCGCGTCTGGCATAATGAAAAGGTTTTAGAGAAGGTATTTCTCTCTACCCCCCCTCCCCCCTACTCTGTCTGTCTGTCTGTCTGTCTGTCTGTCTCTCTCTCTCTCTCTCTCTCTCTCTCTCTCTGTCTGTCTGTCTGTCTGTCTCTCTCTCTTCTCTCTCTGTCTCTATCTCTGTCTCTGTCTGTATGTCTGTCTGTCTGTCTCTCTCTCTCTCTCTCTCTCTCTCTCTCTCTCTCTCTCTCTCTCTCTCTCTCTCTCTCTCTCTCTCTCTCTCTCTCTCTCTCTCTCTCTCTCTGTTGTGCTCCAAGACAAGATTCATAAAGTTTTTAGTAAACATTCCGCTCACCAACAGATGAATCAGAAAATAACCAACCGGAAAGGAGGATAACAGTAACAATAAAAAACAGTAGTAGTAGTAGTGATGATGGGGGAGGGAGAGGAGAGTAATAATAATAATAATAATAATAATAATAATAATAATAATAATAATAATAATAATAATAATAATATAATAATAATAATAATAATGATAATAATAATAATAATAATAATAATAATATAATAATAATAATGATAATAATAATAATAATAATATAATAATATAATAATGAATAATAATAAATAATAATAATGATAATAAATAATAATAATAATAATAATAATAATACATAATAATAATGATAATAATAATAATAACAGTAATAATAATAACAATAACAACAATGATAACAATAATGATAATAATTATTAACTTCATGAAATTAATATAAATACCCTTATATATGAGCGAACCTTTTCCAACCTATGTTCCTGTCACCGTATGTTCATTTATTCTGTTTCCATTTAGCGATTTGAAAATTACATCTCTAAAGGATATACATAGATATTCATTGGTTACACTATTTTCTTATGAACCACGAAGTAATAAACTGTACATATTTAAAGTTCGTTACTGAATACTCGCTACAAGTGAATCGTCATTTTCTTCGATATTTTCCGAACATTAGCTACGTGAGTATTTTTTTTTTTTCAAATTTGTTGCAGAAATCATTAACTTTCAACAAAATCTACAGTCTAAATCCAATCGTTTAATTCAGAGAAAAAGTATAGTATTATACTTTCTTATTTCATACTAATGACGAAATTTGCAATTATCCAAGGAGACTTTGAATGTATTTTATGGCTGTTTACTTCTCGTGTATTTCAAATGATTATTTTCTAATGTTTTTTTGAGAGTATTGCTATATTAGTTCCCATATAACAATATGGATAATATATACACTAATAGGCACAAGCACTAGTGGTGATGATGACAATACCGATGTTAAAGACAAATTATTATAGTAACCAAATGAACGAAAAAAGTGAAATTAATAAAAGTAATACTATTGATAGTGAAAAAGTGATAATAGTGATAACTATGAGCATGATGATGAAAATGATAACGACAGATATTTATAACAATTATGTCACTAATGCTGGAAATATGTAAATAACAACACCAATAATAACAACGATAGCTAGAACGACAAAGGCAGCAGTGATTAAAAAAACTAATGGTATTATTGATATTAACAATGGAAATAAAGGGATAATTAGATAGATATTTAAAACTATTTACATTTTTAATGAACCCTAATATCATCAGTCATTTATACATATATATTCCTGTACAAACAGAGAAGTCTAACCTTGAGAATATCGTTACTAAACTAAAATCTATACTATAATGTCCTTGCACTGATCACCTTCACCAATTGATTTTAAACTCATACTCTGTGCTCATATATCAATTCGCACACGTGTCCTCATTTACATATATTGCTAATTCCAAACGTTGTGATATATCAGAGATTTTAAACTTTACAGCCTTGATGGTGGAATAGTTATCTAAACTCTTTCGATCGTTTCACTAATGAGATAAGTTTGTCTGCGAAAAATACGTTGTTATTAATGTTTGTGAAGTAACGAGGCTATCCATCTATTTATCTACAATTGTACTTTGACAACAACAAAAAATCATCTACTGGTATTAAAGAAGCGAAATGTCCATTGCATTTTCCGGTTTTTTTTCATCATCGACAACTGTAAAGATAAAAAATTTCAGCGCATTAACGCAAGCATTTTGCAGATGTAAAATTCCTTTTTTGATAAGTAATTTCACTTTCATGATTTACTGTGTAGTTATGTTGATGTATACAAACACATAAGCAAGCACAACACACACACACACACACACACACACACACACACACACACACACACACACACACACACACACACACACACACACACACACACACACACACACACACACACACACACACACACACACACACACACACACACACACACACACACACACACATACTACACACATACATACATACACTCTTACACACACACTCACACACATATACATACAAACTAAACAAAACCTTTGATAACACACATCAAAACTGACGTACTTTGCAAATCATTAACAACAAATAGCAATTTCTTATGTATTCAAAATGGCTTTATGAGGAAAACAACCGCTTCCGGAGTGTATGTGGGGTGGGGGGGGAGGGGGGTCGTCTTCCATGTCATTTAGTTTTTTAGTTTTATTCTCCAATAGAAATGAATGAGTTGGAGTCAGTGGCAATGGCGGTGGCATTGACAATGATGAAAACCCTGTGTGTTTATGGCTGACTGTTCAAAGTAAATACGCCAAAGGGGGTTTGAGGTCCCTCACCGGGACCTCAAACCCCCTTTGGAAATTAGGAATTAGATATGCGCAAGGTATCAATAAAGATTCAGAGCTGATGAATTAGGAATTACCCCAAAAATAGGGGTGCCATTGGATTTTCGCCTGTTAGTAGCAGTAATAATAATTTTGATAATGTGATTTGATAATAACAACCATGATAGAGGCATGACATCGCTAAAGAGATTTTGAGGAATGCCCGTGTGCAGATCTGTTTCCCCCTCCCATGATTTAATTATAAATGGTAATAGGCAGCACGATGATGAAAAAGACTACGTGGAAATAAGATAAATCACAGAATGTCCTCAAAGAGAGGTGGAGCGAACGACAAAGCCAACGTCGCCTCCAGTTCGCCCAGCAGTATGTGGAGAAAAAATTAGATCACTGGCGAAGAGTAATAGAGGAGAAAGAAAGAAAGAAAGAAAACACTTCCATTGAACACGGGATGTTCCATTGCTGGATGAGAGGTACCTGGTGCAAATATTAGTGATGAATTTCGTTATTTTCTTTTTTATCAAGATGTTTATGCATAATAGTGTTCTATATTTCATATTTTATGTTCTGATTCTCTACCATCATTTACTTTTCAGATATTACAGGTACAATATCTAGATGTTTATGCATAATAGTGTTCTATATTTCATATTTTATGTTCTGATTCTCTATGACAGATACAATATCTATTTAGACAAATATATCGAACTGTTAGGAGAAATATTCCTCCCATCAGTATGCTGCTGCTGTACATTGGCACATCCCAGAAACAACCTTATCAACGCAGGATAACTGCTTATACACACGTCTAAGGCAGTTACGAAGTGGTACCTTGACCAAAACCACCTGGATGTCCTCCCGTGGCCAAGCAAGGTATGTGGCGCAACTCGACTAGAAATGTTTGGGCGAGTATTTCACGGTTTGGGAAACGGATGATGAAAGAAATTCCCCGCAGCTTGCAGATCACGTTAAGAGCGAATGGGAAGTATTGCGGAGAAAAGCGGGTTTGTGTGTAAATGCTGTTCCTGGGATTAGACAAGGTTGTGAATAATGATATCGTCCTTGTCATCAGTATAACAACCCCAGTATTTGCCTTTATCTACAATTATTACGGTTTTCCTGAAAAAGATAAAACGGCAGTCAAAATATCAGATTTCACCACAAGATAAAAGGTATTCAGAATAATCGAAACGAACTATACATGCTGTTTCGTAACTCACTGTCAAATACTAACTTCGTGATTGACGCTGCACGCACATGGTATGACAGATAGTATATTTATCCACTGTCCTGCAGTTTTGCGTTTAGATAATATTCTTTAATTAAAAAAACAACAACATAGTATTGTGGTAAGGTGTATTAGAGTAGCGCTGCATATGAATATAATACTACTAGCAGATTGTCAGTTTTAAGCAATGTTCTAAAAACAGCCAGAATTGATGGAGAGAGGGAAGGAGAGGGAGAGAGAGAAAGAAAGTGTGTGTTTTTCCATTCATTTAGATATGTACGCATGTCCTACACGGACACACATAATACAACAAACTAAATATGTTATACTGAGAATTACATCACAAGCCAAAGTCAAAGAAACTCGATTTCACTTTCAACTTCAATGTCATATAAAGGCTTACACACACACAAACACACACACACACACACACACACACACACACACACACACACACACACACACATATGTGTGTGTGTGTGTGTGTGTGTGTGTGTGTGTGTGTGTGTGTGTGTGTGTGTGTGTGTGTGTGTGTGCATATATGTATAATTTTTGTTAGTGATATCGACAAAATGATAATGGCATTAGTAAACAATTGATAAATATTTCATACATTTATAGACGGGCAGAGAGAGATGACGCGAAAAAGACAGCGAGGGAAAGAGAGAGAAAAAAAAACAGAAAAGCTAAGCCAAGGAGATCAAGACCTGTGACAAGATAACGTGTCTCCCCACCTCTGTCTCTCTCTCTCTCTCTCTCTCTCTCTCTCTCTCTCTCTCTCTCTCTCTCTCTCTCTCTCTCTCTCTCTCTCTCTCTCTCTCTCTCTCTCTCTCTCTCTCTCTCTCTCTCTGCTTCTAACACACACACACAATTACACACAGACATGATTGCATCGCAAACAAGAAACGAACAAAATGCAAAACCTGCAGCTCATGCATCCGGACAGCAACTTCGTAAATATCCAAGATGGCGCAATGAACACAACACCTGCCTTTGAAGCTTCGATTCCCTAGTCCTTTTGGTTTTAATTTCGTAGTTTTCGTAGCCATAAATATACTGATTCTATCATCAATTCTCACCGTAGTTAATTCCAATAAACAGATTTTTTTAAACGCTTATATTGCGAGCTCAGGTTTTTAAAAAATGATAGCCTTTGTCTGCGGTTTGACGAAACTACAGTAATCAGGAAAATAAATAGACTTTTTAGGGTGAAACTCAATCAAACGTAATGTCAGTGTGTAAAATATTCAACGAAAAATGTTCAATGAGCGAGGAGAGAGTTACAATAATTGGCAGACAGATAAATATATAAATAAGGTTAGACAGATAGATATTGAGTTTGTTTTGTCATTCACATATGTATGCACACACACACACACACACACACACACACACACACACACACACACACACACACACACACACACACACACACACACACACACACACACACACACACACACACACACACATGGAATATAAACTAAACACATTCTAATGATAATCACTTCGTAAATCAAAACAAATAAAGACAATATACAAAGACAGTTTATCTATTTTTTCTCTATTTTCATCTTTCTAAGCACCTCTCCCCCATCCATCTTTCTCTCCTTCTCTCTCTCTCTCTCTCTCTCTCTCTCTCTCTCTCTCTCTCTCTCTCTCTCTCTCTCTCTCTCTCTCTCTCTCTCTCTCTCTCTCTCTCTCTGTCTGTCTGTCTGTCTCTCGCTCTATCTATCATTTTTATATCTTTGTTCATCTCTTTATCAATCCAAAGATACTAAGCTTAGAATTTTGAACACATTTAAAAAGCGATTTCTCTCAATGGTCAAATTTTGATTCTTATATTGTTTTATTACGCCATCATTATTTTTGTCGTAATATTGATAGAATTAATATATCTATGGCCAAGGATTTGAAAGTGCGTTTGTGTTTGTGTGTTTAACGGACAAGTACATACGTATCCGAACTGTAAAACATCATAGTAATTTCAAATATCGAACTAATATAATAACATAAATTTTATATGTCTTATCCTTCACCTAAATCACGCAGGTCCTTCTCTGCTTGTGTCTCTTCCCTTCTTTATCCACTTTTCCCTCATTCCTTGTTCCAAATCTCAAAAGTTCTCACATTAAGGAGAATAAAAAGACGTTTTAAGGCTTTCTGTGGCTACGTAACGCAATGCATTTCTTATTTTTATTAGTTTGTTTATGTCATTTTCTATATTTCTTATTATTCTTGCTTTGTTTATATAATTTTCTATATTTTTATTTTTCTTAGTTTGTTTAAATAATTTTCTATATTAGAAAATGATGATGGTAAGGGCGATAAAAATGAAGATAGAATTGATATATGTGTGTAAAATTCATGATAAACAGATTGCAACAGGAACAACGAAGGGAAGGACAAGAAAACACACGAATATATATATACATAAATATATACATACATACATACATACATACATACATACATATATATATATATATATGTATAATACTGTATATTTGTGTGTATGTTTGTGCATGTGTACATATATATACGTATATATATATATATATATATATATATATATATATATATATATATATATATATAATATATATGTGTGTGTGTGTGTGTGTGTGTGTGTGTGTGTGTGTGTGTGTGTGTGTCTGTGTGTGTGTGTACATAATACATACATACATACATACATATATATATATACGTATGTATATGTATGCACACACACACACACACACACACACACACACACACACACACACACACACACACATATATATATATATGTATATATATATATGTATATATGTATATATGTATGTATATATTTATATATATACATATATATATATATATAATATATAGAGAGAGAGAGAGAGAGAGAGAGAGAGAGAGAGAGAGAGAGAGAGAGAGAGAGAGAGAGAGAGAGAGAGAGAGAGAGAGAGAGAGATGTATACACATAAATACATTATATATATATATATATATATATATATATATATATATATATATATATATATATATATATATATATATATATTCCCTAGCCACAAAGATTGTGAAATATCTATCTCTAGGCGAAAATTTATCTTATCACTGTAACAATGAGCCAACAGTGAAAAATCCTGCCATGCGTTAGAGTCAAATCGGAAAAGGAAAAAAACAGCTTATCTTTCTGTAGTCAACTATGACTATTCATAAACACGATTTTCTTACTGTGCATGTCTTTTGGTCACTAAAGTATAACGTTTCTTTGCCATCTTTCCGTTTCTTTCATACATTTCAGTTCCTTTACCACCTTTCTGTCCCTTTCATTTCATGTTTATATTATATTAGAGTGATCAAATGCATAAAAACAGTTGATATATAAAATCTTCGCTAAATATATTTCTCCGCCAAATTCAAGCAAAGGGCACACTTCCAGACACCGCCATATGCTCTTCTATGACACGCTGTAAAAGTTACAATGTAAACAATGTGTTCCAATTATTTCCTGTGTTATATCACTGCTGCCTGTGGTATGTTGATGATATTCGCACGATGAAACAATGAAACTGAAACACATCAAGAGAGTGTGCGCGTGTGTGGGTTGGAGTGGGGGGTGGGGGGTGGGGGGGGGAGTAAAGACAACGACCGGTTGGTTAAAATTATGCGATTTCTGACCCAATAAATATTCATACGTATATACAGAAATGACAGGTACATATTCACACAAGTAATTGCATTTTTATCAGTTTAGACATGTATATCTACCTGATATGTATATAGTTAAATGTATTTACATCAGGCTGACAGACAGATATGCATTTATTTCAGCGCATATGCACGTTTGTATATATGAATATTCCCTGGGTCGGGCCTCGCATAATTCTAACAAACTGGCCGAAATATACGTTTTTGCATATATTAACATCTAAAACGTTTGCTGTTTAGGTCACTGGAAAATAGAGTGAATATTTATACGAAGAACTTGAAGTCATTAAAGAGTAAAATACGTTAATGTGACTGAAGAAAATTAAAATTGAAATGATAATGATATTACGAATCGCACTATCAAAAGTTTTTCTATTTTATACACAGTATGCGTTAGCATGTTAGCACTCTTATTCTCAAGTTTTAAAAAAACTAGATAATACTATTAGATAAGAGAGCTGAAATCTTCCAGTCGATTACGTGTCAACGCTATCTTTCAAGTTATCGCATCTTTTCCGCCTAACATTGCTAGAGCTACTTGGACGCACTATCAATTTAAACACCATGACCAAATATCAAATTGAAAAAATATATGTATGTATCTTATCATGAAGAAAAAAGGATGCTATTTCCCCCTTTTGTATTTTGAATCTCCCGGTGTTATGACAACCAATCAGGGGAAACCACGACTAACCAATCACATCGCTCCAGTGTGATGAGCTGTACATGTCCAGAAAAACAAAACACTATCACTAAGAAGGAATCAATCTCTTAATAAAAGATCCCAGTATATGTCAGCTAGTAGATCCGATTCTACAAACAGAATTCCAGGGTTTTATGACATCTATGTCGCCTTTGTTGGGTTCATCCATCTATACATGCGGCTGGTCTGAGGGGAAGGGAGGCGAAAGTGTCTAAAATGCGAAAAAAAATGACATTTCTCAACTCACTGCACAGAACAGTATACTCGTTATGGATTATACTCATATCTCTCGACATGCACATACTAGGTAAGTAAATAAGAATGAGGAAAAACAAGTAAATTCCTTGTTTTAGATGGTTTTCCTGGATGTTGCTTCCAGTCATAAATTGCTGACGAGAACAATAAATTCTACTTCTATTTTCTTCGATGTGTTTTTAGTTTTAGGTTATTAACTTATTGGCAGCAACAATTTTAGGTGCAATGTTTAGAAAAAATATATATTCTTGAATATGAAATTAATATTTGACATGTAGTTCAGTTAATAAATAATTGATATGGGATTATGAATTAGAAATATCATGATATTTTTGTTTGTCCTATAATTTTTTAACTTTCATACAGTTTTCCAACTTTGTAATTATTCCTTGATTTGACTTCAAATTGTAACATGTATGAATCTGATGTTCCATTGCTAATGACATAAATGAAAAGGGGTATAACACTGAGAGCGATGCACAGAGATAGGGGAAATGGGCACAGCCATCTTATAGAGCACAAGAAATGTTGTGTAAACTGAAATAGGTACAGCTGCAGCGGCAACATATTAACCGCAAAAGGACAAAAATATTCACTGCATATCACTGCTCAGAGACAGTCCATAACACCCTCACATATCCAGAATTTGTAATGTCCATTTTCCAATAAGTTGCCATGAAGTGCTGATAAAGAAGAGGGGGGGGTATCCTGGCTTGCCTACCTCTCTAGGGAATAAATAAAAAGTAGGAAAGGTTAGGTTTGCGTTTTTAAGTTCACTTGACACCCTGGTTTTGGGACTTAGTCTCTGAAGGATGCATCGCTCATTGTAACAATTACTTGAAAAGATCTAGTTTTAGTTTCAAACAGCCATAAGATGGAGAGTAAACATTGTTTATGAAGTATCTGCATCCCTTTAAGTGAAAGTATCTATTACTCTAGCCACTCTGGGGGATCCAAAAACTTTGCCATATGAACCAAAAACCAGTAATGCTTAATGTTACCAAGGGCGATACACAGAGATAAAGGAAAATGGGCATTGGAAAATGGACATTGCCATCTTATAGAGCATAAGAAATTATGATTTACAACACAGATACAGCTGCTGCGACCTTGTATTTTTCTGCCAAATGATGAAAATAAATGCTGCATATCACTGCCCACAACACCCTCACACAGCCAGAGGTCCTTCTAAAAGTCCATTTTCATAAGTTGGCACAAATTGCTTAAAAAGGGGGGTACAAGTGGGGGGGATGCTTGCTCCCCATGTCTAGGAAATAAATAGAATGTAGGAAAGATTGGGTTTGGATTTTTGGCATCAATGAATTTCTCTCGCCTTCAAGTA